GGTCTTGTGATTAAAATTCAGATGCTTGGCAACTGACTCATATTTATGACGGTTGCAGTGTCCCGGGGTCATGTGATCACCTTTTGCAACCTTCTGACAAGCAAAGTCAATGAGGAAGTCAGATTCACTTAACAACTGCAATGATTCACTTAACTGTGGCAAAAAAGTCGTAAAATGGGGCAAAACTCACTTAGCAACATAAATTTTTGGCTCAATTGTGGTTGTAAGTCAAGGACTATCTATATACCGGTAGCTATAATATTGCCTAGTTCACTGACAGCATAATCTCATTCTTAATTTCTGGTCATAGATCTTGCATGTGGCATGCCATGATCATATGATGGCCTGGCAGTAATTTTAAAAGTTGTTTTTGTTTTTGGTGTAAGTTTTGCTTTGATTTGTTTTGGAGAAATTAAACACTACCTGTTCCAACATGTTGTGTTTCCATTTTCATTATCAGTTTTCAAATAATTGATTTCTTGTGAAGTTGAAGTTGCAATCCTGTATAGTTTTTTTTGGGAAAGAAATTGTCACTGAATCTCTTGGGACTAAACATCTGCATTACGTAGAGAACTGAATTGTAAATGCCATTAAAAAAAATTACTGCTGTTTTTTGCCAATAGTATGGCGGTTCCCAGTTCAGAAGAACAGAAGAAACAAAACTGTTTCATCTTGGGTGCGTCTGGAGAAACTGGGAAAGTATTGCTACTTGAAATCTTAAAGCAGCAAAAATTCTCTCGTGTGACCCTCATTGGCCGCCGAAAGCTAAATTTAGAAGGGACTCTTTACAGTAATGTGGTATGAAACAAAACATTCTTTTAAATTTTATGTTTTTGTCCACCTTCTCATTCCCTTTAGAACTGGACAGAGATTTAAAGCTGGGTCTCTCTGGACCTAATTTGCATTCTAAATGCTAGCCACGTGGATTTTTGCTATATATTATTATAGTCATCCTCAACCTAGTGCTCAGAAAAAATAGTGTAAATCTATGCTACCTGAAAATCCAGCCTTATCTCTCAACATTTCTTGACAGTAATGTTGATGAAATATATTTATAGTCATTAATAATATATTACATATCTTTTATTTTATTCTTCTCTGTTCTATACCAACAGAACACCTTACAAATTTATCAAAAACATTAAGTAATTGAAAATATTATTGAATACTCTATCCAAAATATATGACAATAAAGCAATTTTAAATACCTACTGTATAAATAATTATTCGTTTACTAACGCTAATGGTTAAAGGAATTTGGAAATCTAATTATGTAGGACATAATATACTACATAAACAATGTAAAGAATATGGTGCCATAAAGAAAACTGCCATATAAAAAAGAACTGGATGAACCAAATTGTCTTCAGTCTTTTATGTACTAGATTATAATATCCATTACAGTTGCTGGTATTTCAAAATACTGGAGCCTCTTTTTATATGGTGTAGCTCTTAAGTTAGCTTACTGGCACGCTTGATTCAGACATTTCTATGCTCCTTTCAATTAAATCTTAAATGGTTTACATAATTGTTTACATATAGATATAAAAAAATAACAGAATAACAAAGTTGGAAGGGCCTCTAGAGATCTTCTAGACCAACCCCCTGCTCAAGCAGTAAACCCTCTACCACTTCAGACAAATGGTTATCCAATCTCTCCTTAAAAACCACCAGTGTTGGAGCACCCACAACTTCTGGAAGCAAGTCGTTCCACTGATTAATTGTTCTAACTGTCAGGAAATGTCTTCTTAGTTCTAGGTTGCTTCTCTTTTTGATTTGTTTCCAACTTATCTCAGGTACATGAATCTATTCAATTCTTCCGTTCATAAATGCTCCCAAGAATAACCATAACTTAAGTAGCTTCTTAAACATCAGCAGTGAGGGTGCTTTTCTTATTTCAGAGTGTAGCTTATTCCCCAAGAAGGGAGCCTAGTAGAAAACATTTGCTTCTATGCTCCCCCTTATCACACCATACCTGGAAGGAAACTTCAGCATCCCTTCTCTGCCTTGTCCAGGTTGTGCATTTTAATATGTATATTTTATTGATTGTTTGATAATTTCATCTTGGCTTCTCAACATGACTTAAGATTTCGTCATTAGTTAGGAGATGTTCTGTCTTCATTTGTTTTGGGAAGCAGAGAGACACATATATTTAATTTTCTTCATTGGAGTTTCCAGTTCTTTCTTTCACGTCTGTTTTTTTGGGTGTCTGTCCTGCCTGTTTCCAGGTCCAAGAAGTTGTTGACTTTGAGAAGCTAGATGAATCTGCTGCTGCCTTCCAAGGACATGACGTAGGATTCTGCTGCTTGGGGACAAGCAGAGCCAAAGCTGGAGCGGTGAGGAGAAAAATAGGTCAATACCTGGGTCTGGGCAGAATTGAGAAAGGTGGAAGATTGAAAGGAAGTTAAGAGGTATAAAATACACCTTAGAGTGGAATTTGCTGGCAGGTGGGATTTCATGGATTGTTTCAGTCTTTCCCAACTTGGCATCCTCCTGTTATTATTGGACTACAAATCTAGTGGCTCTGGGTACTGATGGTAATTGCACTTTCCATATACTTAGAGGAACCAAACTGGAAAATGTGAGTTCCTTGGGATCTGAGAGACAGAAAATTGAAGTGGCTGCTTGGCATTTTAAGGGAATGAGTTGGCCTGATGAGGAACAGGTGTGAAGACTTTAGAACAGGGGTGTCAAATTGCTGGCATGCGTGCCGGATGCCTCATGGTACCAGCAATGGCAAAACCGTCCTGATATGTTGCGCCAATGGTTGTACTTAATTGGAGCGCATGAGAAGGGTGGAGGAAGATCCCAACAGATCAAAAAATAAATTTGATCTCAGTTCATTTGCATTTACATTTAATTAAGCATAATTATACATAATGCTATTCTCTGATCGGTATGTATTTAATTTTTTCTTTCCACATTAAAATTAATAGCAATTTTTGAGGTGCCTGATTGTCATAAACATAGTTTTGGAGATGAAACAGCCCTGAAGTCCCAGGTTAGATAACTCTTGATATGTCATCTCTTGATATGTCAGATAGGCTCTAACTCATTCCAGGTCATTGGAAAGGGGAGACTTTTTCAAATAAGTAAATACTTCTTTCTCTAAATGCAGGATGGATTTGTGCGTGTTGACCGTGATTATGTTGAACATGCAGCAAAGCTAGCCAAAGCCGGTGGCTGCCACCACTTTATCCTAGAGTCAAGCAAAGGTGCAGATAGCTCCAGCAGATTCCTCTATCTAAAGACCAAGGTATGTCTGATGGGCTGCAAAATGAGATAAGCAGTGGGTGAGAGAACCAACTGGTTTCAGAGTTCTCTCCTGGTTGGGTTCCCAGGTTCTGTTTAATTTTAACAGGAGAGAGAGTTCAACCAATGGAGGCTATCTTATTCCTTTCCTCTTTAGGGTGAAGTAGAAAACAGGATTAAGGCACTTGGATTTGACAGAGTCTCCATATTTAGACCGGCGTAAGTATATTGTACATATGAATCTGATGGACGAACAAGGATGCTCGTTCCATCACATAGGAAGTTGTATTAGTCGTGAGTGTTGCTGATTAGTTAAGATTTGAAGTTTCTCATTGTAACAAAATTAGTTATTCAACTGCTTGTTTAGCTGTTGCTTAAAAAAATTAATAACCTTACCTCTTGTAGGCTAGTAAAATCAAGAGTACACCAAATAAGCAGTGTAGATGTAGAAAGGTTTCGTTGCAATGTATCCAATTTTAAAATGTTGCTTTGATTTCCAAGAATGGAAGTACGAGTATACTTCCATTCACACACGGTTAGGAAAATTGGTCAAAACTAATACTAGTGATGATTTTGAGTAAATTTGAGAACCTAAACCACAGGTATCATTTATGCCGAGACACATTTAAGAGTTTATTTTGTATGTAATTGGGGATGCAGTCTGAGTCACACAATCTATGAAGCAGATTAACATACAAATGAGTAAGTTATTTATTTTGTTTTTCATTGATGAGCAGAAATGTAAGCCCTGGCCTTCCCAAGGCAAACCCAAAGTTCACACTGCAGGTCACAGAGAACCATTTTGCTTCACCTGTGGCTGTTCAATGTATTATTTGAACCATACAGATTCATAGCAGGAATTACCAACAGCCTCTCCCAGAGCCATTGCTTTCTCAGCCGAACTATATATGCAGCTGCCATGGTGCGGCTGTCCTTTCCTAGCTTGGGCAAATACCTTTGCCCTACTGGAAACACAATTTAGTATTATCTTTTTCTTTTTAAGGATTTTTCTATAGTTGGTCAGTTTTGGCATCCCCAGCAATAGATATTGCCTTGTCAAGAAGTTTGATTTCTTCACCATCTCTCTGGTCTTTTTTATTTTTTTATTATTTATTATTTTATCAAGCATTGTATCAATAACCAAACAATAACTCATTATAATGAAGCGTTCATGTATTAAAACCCACTGTTCCTATCTCATCCTTCCATGGCTTGTTTTTCAGTGATCTTGCTACACACTTCTTTGTTACGAATAAGAAAATATTATCTTTTTGTTGCTGCTTTGTTGAGAGCAATAAAAGCCAGGTAACATATAACTGAGATGAAAGAAGTTCCTTTTCTGCCCCTCTTCCCTAGGCTGCTGCTATGCGATCGCCAGGAATCTCGGCCCGGTGAATGGATGGCCAGGAAAGCCCTAGGAGTGGTAGCCCATTTCTTTCCCACATATATGTCTATCCCTGTCACAACAGTGGCCCGAGCAATGGTCAATATTGCAGTGACGCCAGCAAAAGATGGGCAGAAAGTGGAGGTGCTGGAAAATGCAGCCATCCATGCCCTTGGTCAGCCAAAGTAATCAACAGAGAAGAAGGGATGTTTCTTGAATAGCTTTATAATGAAGGGGTTTCATTGATTGCCCAAAGCCCAGCTTTACTTGCAGTTTTTTTTATACTGCAGAGGGTCTTTGAATAATAGCGTTTGAATTGCATTTGATAGGATTGTTGCATCAGGAGAATGTGATCCTAAATAACTAAAAAAAAAAAAAGCCTTAATGTCATTGGTGCTCTTTCAAAAGCTTTAAATGCAAATCCTGCCTCTTAATAAAATTAATTAATTAGCTACGGAATTATGTATGGTCTGTTGATTAAATACTAACTTGCTAAGGGTGCAACTTAAAAATGAATGGTGGATGGAATGAAGAGATGAATGTATAAACTTTATTATGGTCAAAATCCAGGAATATCAAGCAGAATGCAAAAACATTTATACAGTAGCTATATAGAGACTCCTTGTAACAAAATGTTATGAAGAGCTCATGCGTTCTGCTCCAGCAACCAGGCCATTAAGCAAAATGGTCATTAAGACTTTCAGAAATAAGAAGTCTAATTCTTAGCCATTTGCATATGGACTATAGGGACCCTGAATAAACAAAGATAAAGGGGAGACGCAATCCACTAACTGGTTCATGAGACTTCTCACACCACCAGCCTATGCTTGAGACTGTCATAAGGCAAACCTATGTCTGAAGTTCAATCATTTCCATCTTCCAACCTACCTCATGGCCAGGATCTTCCTGCTCAACAGATGTTTCATAGCCTCTTTCACATCTTTGTTCCTCAGACTGTAGATGACTGGATTCAGAAGAGGTATCACCAGAGTATAAAACAGAGAGACCACCTTGCCTTGATCTTGTGATCCATCCTTGTTCCTTGGCTGAGCATATACGAAAATGGCAGTGCCATAGAAGAGGCTCAGAGTGATCAGGTGGGAAGAGCAGGTGGAGAGGGCCTTTTGTCGTCCTTGAGTAGAGTGGCTCCAGAGGACATTCCACAAAACCCGGAGATAAGAGACAGAGATAGTAGTGATGGTTACTATGGCAATGACAGTTGTGGAAACAGAAAGGATTACTTCAGAAAGCTGAGTGTCAGAGCAAGAGAGCTTCAAGACAGCAGGGATATCACAGAAGAAGTGGTTGATATGGCTTGGCCCACAATAGGACAACCGGAAAGCTCCACTAGTCTGAATGATGGAACCCACTAAACCACAACTGTAAGCCCCCAGCACAAGGCAAATGCAATTCTTGTGGGTCATGAGTAAGGTGTAGGTCAAAGGGTGGCAAACGGCCAGGAAACGATCATAGGCCATGGCTGCCAGGAGAAAACATTCTGTTGTCACCACAGTAGTAAAGCAAAACATCTGAACTGCACAAGATGGAAGGGAAATGGAAGCCTTGCCCTGTTGTAGCTGAGCCTCCAGTGCCTTGGGTGCAATGACCGAGGAATAGCAAAGATCCAAGAGAGAGAGGTTGCTGAGGAAGAAGTACATTGGAGTGTGCAGACGCTGTTCAATTCTGATCAAGGTGACCATCCACCCATTGCCTAGTACTGTGAGCACATACAGGAGAAGGAGCATGCTGGAGAGGAAAGGACTCAATTCAGGTTCCTCTGTAAAGCCCAGGAGGATGAATGTGGTCACAGTGCTTCTATTTTCACCTTCCGAGGAACTGTGGCTGGGCCTATGAGATCTTCAAACAAAACCATAGATATGGTACATCACAATAAATAGGCATAAGGTTAAAAGTAACTGCAAAACATAAAATATAAACAAAGATGTTTCCTTAAGAGAAAAGTGGAAGGAAAGCAGAAACGTTGGTAGATTAGATTATGTATGTATAAAATTGCTCATAGACACACACTCACGTACACAGAGATGCATACACAGAAAGCTAGAGGTAAGCAAACGTACACAGAGATGCATACACAGAAAGCTAGAGGTAAGCAAACGACACCATCAGTGCAACCCCTAATCTGCCTCCAACAGGGGTTCCCGATTCCCGAGCTGTGGACTGGTTTCTGGCCCATTAGGAACCAGGCCATGCCAGCGAGTGAAGCTTCACCTGTGCATGTGCAGAATTTAGGCAGTGTTTGAAACCATGACCTCCCTAATCCGTGGAATTTTTTTTTCCAGTGATCTGGTCCCCAGTGCCTTAAATGTAGAGGGCTGCTGGTCAATAAGTAGTTCTCAATTTATGATCACAATTGGGCCTGGAATATCCATCACTAAGCGATTCATTGTAAAGTCTGACATCACATGACTATGTTGTTTAGCAACATCAGTCCTGGCAATCCCAGTGGCCATTGTAACTCTAGATGAACAGGTTGTTCAGCAGGAAGCAGGAAGTTGAGGGACTCCCAAAGAAGCGTAGGAGACCATAGGGGGATGGCAAAGTCCTGGGAGGCTCAGCGCAGGCTGCACATGGGTTGCGGCTGCTACAGTGCGGCACAAGCTTAGGGAATCTGGGGAGAGAGAGTGTGAGGTGCATGCAGGCATGTATACGAGTGCAGGAAGGTCATTGAAAGGCACTACAGCTCAGGAGCTTCCTGGGGTATTGCAGCTCTGAAGCTCCAAGAAGCCTCGGAGTCACTATGCAGCTCTAAGCTGCAGCCATCCCTGTATGCCTCACCCCTGTCCAGCAACTCAACCCAAAGCTGCTGTGCCCTGGGAAGCACCAGCAGCATGGCACAAAGCTGTGGCTCTGGGTCTACAAGAAGCTCGCAAGCTGCAGCACAGTGTAAAGCCCAGCCCCAGCAGCACAGGACAAAGGGGCTTCTTGGCATTCTGTGGCATTGTGGGTCTGCAAGAAACCCCTGGGCTACAGCATAGTGCAGTGCAAAGACTAGCCCCAGCTCAGCAGCATAAAGCAAAGGGATTTAATAAAGATATAAATCTGCCTATTAGAATGGCATATCAATTTGGAGGTTTAAATCAATACTAAAATAAATAAAATGTTAAACCTACAGTAATTAACTGTAATAAAGATGATTCAAACTGTAAGGTACAGACTGTAATTTTAAAAATTGCAATAATTTCTGCCTAGTCAAGAAAACGGGGAATTTAACAGATCATAATGTAATGAAATATTTTAATTTAATGTTAGGAAAGCCACAAGCCTGGGTTACAATACAACCCATTTATAAGATTTTGATCCAAAACTGATTTCCAAATTATTCTATGTCAGATTTGTTTTTCAGATATGAAATTAGTTTTGACATTAGCGCATGCTTCTCTAATTTAATGAATCATTCTTCTGCAGAAAGGATTGTTCATAATTTCCAGTAAGAAGCATAAAGAATCCTAGCAGTTGTTACCATGTAAACATTTTGTTTTGTATTCCCTGTAGGAATATTAGTATTAATAATAATTTCATTAAAAATTAGCAAGCTGAGTTTTGTCCAAACCAGTCCCTTAGATTTTTCATGGCTTCAAAATCTAAGGGATTGGTTTGGACAAAACTCAGCAGCACTTTTTTGTGCGGCTGCTGATGAAAACAGGATCGCCAACATGATCACCAACGTTCAATAACGGATATGGCACAAGAAGAAGAAGCTGAGAAAAGAAAGCTATCTTTAAAGTTTGTTTCATTCTCTGACAAATCATTTTTCAAAATCACTGGGTTTTACAACACTACTAACTGATAGGAAAAAGTGATCCAACATGATTGTTACATTTCCAAATAGTGCAATGAATTGTCTATTTCCACAATCAACACTGGAGTAATAGATAGAACCTCTTATACCAATTTTCTCTATGCGCAGTATTATAAGGGACAGAAGGAATAACCTTGAGAGACAACAGTCAGATAAAAGAAACTTGAGTCCAGAGCAGAACTATAACCTAACAAAACCTTTCCAACAAGATCCTCCCTGCCTCTCACAAAGACAACAGGACGGAGGGGGAAAGCACATTTCAGACTTGCAAAGACTCTGTTATTATAACATTATAATAAAAATAATATTACCCTGTGTTGTTTTCGTTTCCTAATCTGGTCTACTATGAATGGCTGACAAATATTGGCTGCAAATCTGACTGTTTTCTTCCATTAATATTCCCATTGTTGCATATCAATTATTCTATTTAAACTATACATTCAGTTTAAATCATATGTCTTTCTGATCTGTTCTTTACCAGCAACTCATCCATTTAAGTGTAAAGTGTAAAGTGTACAAACTTTGCCATTACTTTTATAATATAATAGTCGTCATTCTGTTTTAAGCATCATTTTCATTTTCCATTATAAACATTGCTAAATTTTGCCATTGTGGCTTTGGAGAGGCTTTGGGGCTCCATCCTGCTCCAAGTTAGACTCCAGATCTGTGGCTGCTTTTACAAACTCTGTTTCCAGATCCCAGGAGGAAAAAATATACTAAGCTAAGCTTGCATCTTTAATAATATTTTCCAAGTGATATTACTGTATAATAAATACAATAAACAATAAATAAGTAAACATTCAGCTCCATCCAGTTGCCCCAACTACCTTGAAATAAGGGATTACTCAGTCATAAAAAAAGGAGTCACTGTATAATAAATATGCCAAGTTAATTATGCATTTAGGTGAAAAAATAACACCTAAAAGCTGTTTATCAAGTGTTTTATTTTATTTGTATGTGTAACTAATGATTAGGTATAGTTTATTTATTTATAAAACATACTTGTTGCCCATTTTGTATCCATAGACTCTGCCCAGCTTACAACAGTGAGAAGGGCTAGGAAACTAATAGATTTCATTTTAAGCTGGTATTTTGTAACCTACACATTGTTTATCTGGAAGGCTGCCAAGGGGTAAACAGATGACAAGAGTAATGCAACAGTGCACAAACTCAGAAGCTTCCACCCATGCTGAGCCCTCTGTTTTTGACTGCCCCAAAAGGACAAATGAACAGGTAGCAGCATGGGAGAAGCCCTGCTATATTTGGGTCAGATTGGAAAGAGGTTTGATTATTTTAGGAAATGAATTATATACATTTGCTAACTTTTAGTAGACATTATCAGTATTTTAAAATACTAGAAAGGAAAGCAGCTTCTGAATGTAGGCTCCTGCTCCCTGCTTCCATGCCTGTTTCACTTTGATTTCAGCTTCACTCCAACTTTGGCTCCAGATTTTGAGCCGGCTTCAGAGCTCAATCATTCCTTCTTTCCATTCCTTCTGTTGGGAGGTTTTTTTTGGAATATTTTCTTAAATCTAGTTATCACCCCTTTCTACCTCCTGATTTCATTCCAGTGAAAGGTAAAAAGGAGAGAATCAGAGATGATTTGGGTTAAAAATTGTGCAACATACTGAATAAATGCCATATAATTACTTTTCTACTCTACTGATTTCTTGAAACTATTAATCACAGTTTTTAGAATTCATTTTAAATGATTGGCAGTGGCAACTCACACAAACCCACTGAGTAGGAAGAGGATCTGTGATGGATTATTTCAAATCAGAAGTCCTACAAGACTTGCACCAACTTGTAAGGTGGAGGGCAGGTTTAATTCAATAAATTTAAATTTAACAAAAGTATATTTCTGGATCTGATTCCAACAAGAAGAAAAATTAACTATTCCAGCTTCAGAGTTGATATGACTTCTCCCCTATGTGGGGGATCACATTCAAAATTTAATGAGGGTTTAGTTCTAGCAGGTTGAAACCTGCTCAATTATTTATATGTTCCTAGCATATCTTGTTTTTACTTTGAATTAATCAGATCAGTAGCAAGGCTGTGAGAGGAATGGAGCTTTTTGATCACTGTAAAGGAGAAAACTTTTTACAGAAAATCTGACTGGATCCTGTATTCTCCCAGAGACTATAGGATTGCATTCTTAATTGCCTTTATTTGATTGCATTAAAATCATGAATATCAAGACTGGCTTTTTCAAAAGCAAACTGGAAAGATTTAACAGTTTAAAAATCATTTTTAAATTTTAATAATGCATAACACAAAACAAAACATTCCAGCTAAGCTCTGTAAGATAAAGTTGCTTTAGTGACTCACCTGTCCATGATTTCTCATTGAACGTTTATCAGCAAGCTGCAAAAGAAGAATCATCAGATCACTTGATGGCAAGGAACAAAAGGGGCAATGGAGGAGAAGAGATGATGCTAATTTGGGAAAGATAGAATGTTCCGCCAGCTAGCACTGGCATATTGGAGGTTTTCACATACATTAAAAAAATAAATACAAAAATAGTGTGCACATTCTTGAGTTTCCATTGAGGATGGTTTGTTTTATTTCCCAAATAATATTTAAATATTTAAATTTCAAACATTTTACCTCAGAATAAGACTTTTTAAATGTTGGGTCCTGAAATCCTTCAGCAGTAAAAAGTGTCCAGATTAAATAACTCTGAAAGACCTTCTCCTTAATCATAGCATTGGCGATAGAGAGAAGTAAAGATGCTCAGGATATAACCTTCTCTCATTCTAGTCATAAATCATTTCAGTTGAATGTGGTAAAAGATGCAGCTGGATAATGGCTGGAAGATACAAGTTTTAGCCTTGGCTCTATGGGAGAGGATGCCTTTTATTTTAGAGGTGAAAGAAATAGATGTTATTTTCAGTCCTTCAAATTTTTGACAGTAGCTTCTGGGAACTAGTCTAATGCAATTACTAGCTGTGCAACAATTCATTCATTCATTTATTCATTTTTTGTTTGTTTGTTCATTCACTCAATTTCTACTAAAATATTGTAAAACAATAAAACATCCAAATTAACTCAATAATGCATTAAGCTAGATAATATTTCAATCATCTGCTTGTTAGGTTGTTTGCATACTGTGAAAATTAGACCATCCATATGAAGACTTGGAATAAGGCAATCCTTGCTTCACCTATAATTGGTTTTCAGGCAGTATTCATAAAATCATGAATTGGAAGGATCCAGTGCACTGCTCAGTGTAGGAATCCAAATTAAAACGTCTCATAAAGATGGCTGTGTAATTTCTTCTTGAACACATCCAATGAAGATGGTTTACCATCTCTCTAAATGGTCATGGCTAACTGCTTCCATTGTTGATTTGTTCTTAATGTTAGGAAGTTTTTCAAACAAAATTTCCTTTTCTATAATAAAGACAAGTATTCCATGTCTGGTATTTTGGAATGATATGTGAATAGCGATAGGCATTTGTATGACATTTTTTCAGGTACATAAAGAGTGCTCTCCTACTGTTCTTCTATCCCATGTTAACATTCCCACATATATAAGAGAGAGCATGAAAGAGAGTTTAGTATAATAATGTGACCATGGAAATGGTGAACAAATATTTAAGAAAAACCACAGTGTCAACATACACTGGCTCTTAAAGCAATGCCCTCTGTGGGAGACTTACCTTCAATATAAATTAGCTACCAATGAAAAACAAATCAGCAACAAATGCATTTGAGAGAGTTTAGTTCTGAACTTTAACTTCTCTGGTCTTTTATGAGAGCTGTGCCAGATATACAAATCTGTGATGTATAACCTGGCCTGAAAGTTCCATTAATTGTGATGCATCTGTGAGCTTTTATTTATGATCTCACAGGAACTGGGGGAAGTATAACTTGGCCTGAAAACTCCATTAACTGTGTTTCATCTGTGAGTGTTTGTTTGTGATCCCATAGGAACTGGGGTGAGGAAGGATCAAGAGAACATTCCAGGAAAAATACCAGCTTTGATTAATTCATTACCTAAGAACAGCAGCAAATGACAATTACATCAAATTCACATATAGGGCAAATTCAGCTTCAGTCTGGCAAGATTGATGTCAGGCCCCAAATCAAGAATGGCAGATAGCAGTTCTTTAAAACTGAGTTCTTTACCTATAGACAAAATCTTGCCAGACTGAGCACTCTGCGATCTACATCTACAATATCTTCTGTGAGCTTTTAGGGAGGGGCTGTCTTGTACACATAGTCTTCTGGAAAACGAAAGGACTCTTACAAATTCCAGAGGGTTTTTTAGCAGAGAGATTTATTGCGCAGGTTCAGAAGCAATAGCAACTAGCAATTCTGAACCCCGAGGGTGGGTTCAGACTTCAGTTTTATACTTTCCTTTTCTCAGGAACAAAGGAATACACATTGAAATACACATTGTAATACATTAGGTCCGTTTCTCACGGGTATACAATGGAGAGTTTGCTACATATATTGTATCCAAGTGCAATGCGCATTAGGTTAGTCACATACTACTAACACAGCATTATTCCAGTAATTATGCAGACACATCATTATTCTAGTGATTGTTTATTATTCTACATTAATAGCATCTGGGCTGAGTTACCTCTTACTCCTCTGGAATGCACCTCCTCCCTCCCTGGGGACCCAACTCCTCACTACACTCCATCCCTTCATTAAACACTACACATGATCTATATCCTAGAAGATAACGTATAATGTTTCACAACCACCATGTTATATTCATTATGACTTGAATTTTGATAAGCCCTCGGGGAGGACCAGAAATAAGGAAAAAAGTTTTACCATTAACCATTTCCTTGCCCTTTTCTTTAATACACACCATAAAGTTGTTGCTTTTTCCTTGGCCATGACTTAAAGATAGCAAATGATCAACAGTAACATTAAAAAGTAAATTAAGGTCCTGTGAGCCCTGGAAAGTAACTACTGGGTCCCTGCTGACAGCAATGCCAGGAGCACATCACGACATTACTAGAACTTATTCTGTGCCACTATTCAACACTTTTAGGTCCCAGGATTCTTTGCCAGCTTAGCTCCCTCAAGCTTTGTGGGCTTTGGGTGATATATAGGTTGGAAATTCTTGGAATGGAAGACCAACTTACTTGAAATGTTCAACATTTGGAAAGACTAGTATAGTGGATTCTGTCACAACTCTCCAATAACCTTGTAAATATTAAAGCTTTGGTGAGAAGAATGAAGCAGAAATGAAAAGAAATCAAGTTCTAGGACACTATTTTAAACAGATTAAAGACCAAGATTTTGAACATTTATTTGGTCAAGATTAAAATAGATATCATATCTCTGGTTACTCTTAAAGAACTTTTGCTGACTGACTGAGATGCTGATGTTTTATGGATTTGTTTATAGAAACAAGAGTTTATTTGTGGTATTTAAGAGAAGATAATAAGTTTATTACCTTCTGTTAAACATCACAAATGAACTCTTCTTTCTATATCCCACCCCTTATCCATAAACAAATCCATAAACAAATGCATTTGTGGTATTGAAGAGAAGGTAATAAGTGATGGCTCAGCAGTTAAAGTTGCTGAGCTTTCAGATGAGAAAGCTGACAGCCTGGGTTCGAGACCCTAGCTCCATGCAATGGGGTAAGCTCCCATTATTTGCCCCAGCTCTTGCCCACCTAGCAGTTTGAAAGCATGCAAATACAAGTAGACTAATAGGTACCACTTTGGTAGGAAGGTAACAGCATTCTTTGCGCTTTTGGCATATAGCCATGCTGGCCACATGAGCATGGAAATTGTCTTCAGACAATGCTGGTTCTTTCAGCTAAGAAACAGATGAGCAGCATGCCCTAGAGTCGGACACAACTGGCACCGAAATATTTACCTTTCTAATAAGTTGCTAAAATTATTTATAGGGAGATGTCATATATACATATGCATATACATAAACATATACACTGTGTGTACAATTATTAGGCAAATATTTTGCCATATCATCATTTTCACGCATATTTTCCACTTCTAAGCTCTATAAACCTGAATGCTTAATGGATATAAGCATATCAGGTTATGTGTATTTGTGTAATGTGGGAGGTTGTGGCCTAAGGAGATCAACATCCTATATCAAGGTGTGCATAATTATTAGGCAGCTTCTTTTCCTTGGGAAAAAGGGGGCAAAAAAGAGATTTAACTGACTCTGAAAAGTGAAAATGTGTAAAAAAAGTCTTTCAGAGAGATGCAGCATTCTTGAATTTGCTAAGATATTGGGGCGCAATCACAGAACCATCAAACGTTTTGTTGCAAATAATCAACAGGGTTGCAAGAAACGTGTTGAGAAAAAAAGATGCACATTAAGTGCCAAAGATTCAAGAAGAATCAAATTATCCTCCAGTGCTGTCATATTCCCAAACTGCAACCTGCCTGGAGTGCCCAGAAGTACAAGATGTTCAGTGTTCAAAGACATGGCCAAAGCAAGGAAGGCTGAAACCCGACCACCACTGAACAAGACATATAAGTTGAAATGGCAAGACTGGGCCGAGAAATATCTGGAGACAGATTTTTCAAAGGTTTTATGTACTGATGAGATGAGAGTGACTCTTGATGGACCAGATGGATGGGTCCGTGGCTGGATCAGTAACGGTCACAGAGCTCCATTTTGACTCAGACCCCAGCAAGGTGGAGGTGGGATACTGGTATAGGCTGGTATTGTTAAAAATGAGCTAGTTGGACCTTTTTGGGTTGAAGATGGACTCCAAATCAACTCCCAAACCTACTCCCAGTTTTTAGAAGACACTTTCTTCAAGCAGTGTACAGGAAAAAGTCTGCATCTTTCAAGAAGACCATGGTTTTTATGCAGGATAATGCTCCATCGCATGCATCGAAGTACTTCACTGTGTGGCTAGCCAGTAAAGGACTCAAAGTTGAAAGAATAATGACATGGTCCCCTTCCTCACCTGACCTAAAACCTATTGAGAACTTGTGGGCCCTTTTTAAATGGAAAATTTACGGTGAAGGAAAACATTACACCTCTCTGAACAGTGTCTGGGATGCTGTGGTTGCCGCTGCACAAAATGATGATTGCCAATAGACCAAAAAACTGACAGACTCCATGAATGGAAGGCTTATGACTGTTATTAAAAAGAAGGGTGGCTATTTTGGTCACTGATTTTTTTTTTGAAATTTCAGAAATGTTTATTTGAACATTTTGAGTTGTTTGTTTATTATTCTCTCTTTAACAGATGCAAATAAATGTGTGAGATGGGCAAATTTTTGTTTTTCATTTAGCTGCATGATAATTCTGCACACTAGGAGTCGCTCAATAAATATTCTCCTGAGAAAGCCAAAACCTCACTTTCACTTTCTTAAATATTCAGGTTTGAGGTTCATTACCATTTTGGATTGAGCACTGTAGTTGTTCAGCAAGAAAATTAATCCTACAAAATACAACTTGCCTAATAATTGTGCCCACAGTATACATATTTTATTTACTATATTCTTTTTTTCTTCTCTATTTTTCTTCCCTTTTCCCTGTCTGGGCTTTCTGATTTTTATGTTTATTCTTTTCTAAGTGTTGTATTAATTTTATCTTTTTATTGTAATTTTTAATACAATTATTATGAAAAAAATAGTTACCCAACCATCTCCAGTCCAAAACACAGAGTAGAACATGCAACTTTCTTGTCTTCTCATTAAAAATAATAATTGTCTATCCAGAGAATTGATATAACAGAGCTTATTAGCAAGATGTTCCCTTACAAAAGCATACTATATGTGACTGCACCAAGGGCCTTATTAAAACTTTGAGAAAGTTTCTAACATAAGGTAGGATGTGGGGAAAGAAAACTTATTTATAAGTTCTCAGGGGAGACCACTTTGTTTTAAAGTAACCAGGCAGGTCCCATAGATACTAGAAAGATTGGTTTAATTTAATGAACCAGAAAAAGAGTTACATTCTGGGGGAAAACCCCCCCCCCTTTAATAAGAGCCTATGCTTGCACAGATGAAACTTTTTAAAATAAATAAAATTTCCGATTAGTATCCTAATTGGAAGCACTGACAGGATTTAGCTGTTTTCACTGATCCAGAGCTATAAAATGTCTAAACCAGGGCTTTTCAACCTTTTCACCCATTGTACCACTTTTAGGATATGGCAATATCCAAATACCATCAGTCGCCTAGCAAGATGTCAAAAACGTGATGACCCCCCCCCAAAAAAGGAAAAAAGTGATAAAGTACAGATAGTTCTCAACTTACAACAGCTCGCTTAGTGACTGTTCGAAGTTACAATGGCACTGAAAAAAGTGCCCCCCAAGCCACAGCTGAGTAAGATATCTGCCTGCCCACCCGGCAGCGCTCTTTCTCCTGTCTGAGGTTTCCATTGTTGTGAGCATTTCTGTTGAGGATTGGCAGCAGGGGGGGGGTGAGGGGGTGTTTGGTTTTTATTCCCCCTGTCTGCTGGGTGGTTGCAGCAGATTTTGGTTACTTCACATGATCCTGGGACACTGTGACCATCATAAATATGAATCAGTTGCCAAGCATCTGAATGTAAATCACAAGACCCTGGAGATGCTGCAACATTCCAGCTGATCGGCGCTTCTTCTGGGATCAGCAGAAGCACCAGGATCAGCGCCGAGTTCCAGCTGGAGCCTGTCACTGATCCTGGCGCTTCTGCTGAGCCCTGACAGCCCTGCAGCTCCAGCCACCTCTCGCTCAGACTTGTGCAGTGCTGCCATCGGTTCAGCTCATTCCCCTCCCCTGCTACCACTTTTCTAGGATGTTTGCGTACCACCTGCCAGGTGCCAATGTACCACAGGTGGTACTCGTACCACTGGTTGAAAAGCCCTGGTCTAAACCATTCAGGTAGTTAAGGTTTCTTTGAAGGATGTCTAATTCCAATGCTCTCTTGAAAGATGATAGAAATCAGTCTTTTTCATGGGAATCTTTTCTAGAATTTGGCCCTATCTTTAAACATAACAACAACAACAAAAACAACAACAATAATAATGTGTCCAAAAAGTCGTGGGAACATAGGGTGGAAAAAGTTGTTGAGAATGAGAGGGTGAAGATCTTGTGGGACTTTCGAATACAGACAGATCGCCATTTGGAACACAATACGCCGGATATCACAGTTGTAGAGAACTGAAGTGTACAGCTGATTGATATTGCTGTACCAGGAGATGACAGAGTCGAAGAAAAAGAACTGGAAAAAATTACAAAAT